AGTAAAACGCATGCTCTATTTAGGCTATGTTTTGTTGCGCTGCGTTCTGATTTATAATCTAGAAGTATCTTTTAATTTTCGCTTGTTATTTCTACAATTAAATGTGATTAAAATGTTCACTTTGCAGTAAAAACTGTTTTTTACCTTACTCTCGGCTATTTTCTTCGGGATCCCGATAACTCGAACTCCCGATAACTCGAGCCTTTTTTCAATTTCCCTTGAAGGTTCGAGTTATCGGGAGTCGACTGTACTTTACTGACCCATGTATCGAGAGACTGGCAAGATTTAGCTGCAGCCTTCCTCTTTCTATTTTCCTGTTGTCTCCTACCCATAACGTATTACACAAAAAACTTATTTTGCATCTTCGGGGGTTCATGCGCTCGTACAAATAGAGAATACTACCCGACGCGTTAGCGGACGTGTCTGACAAAAATCGTGAGATTTTTTGAGCGCTCATTGAAGTGTTCTGAATGGCACGGGCTACTAGAGTGCAGCTGGTTTTATTTTCCCGAGTGAATACACTACTGCTTTTTCCATTCTTTGATTTTGTTTAAATATCACTGTTAAGTTTGAAACTTCAGTTTAACCGACTGCACTCCTTAACTTGGATATTGAGTATCAAAATGCGGACCTTTGGGGCCCGTGCGGGGGAGGGGGGGGTGCGAACGCACCCCATACACCCCCCTGGTTACGGGCCTGTATGGATTCATCGATAAAGATTGCACCTCCGTCCCCCCCGCGAAGGATTCACTACCTGTAAAATAAGTGTCAACTGAAATGACAATCTTTGAATCAACAACGCTATCTTCTTTGTTTGCAGATTTCATCACCCAATTTGGACCTACAAAGGCTATAGTTCTTCCAATTCCAAGAGAAAAGCTACGCCGAAACTTTGTCTTCTTTATGTTGGTTTTGGTCAATCTTGATGACGCAACATGAACTGCTCCACTTAAGGACCATTATTTCCGCAGCGTTGGAAAAATGAATCCTCTATGTCAAGTGCCAGATGCCCTACAGTTTTAATTATGTAGCCCACATACACTGCTCCTCCAAACATACATGCACTGCAGTTTACAAAGGTTAAATTTAGTGCGATCTTGCTTTTGTCGTACACTAAATTATTTCTATCAGTTTGGTACCCGCAGTTGTCTAGCAATAAAGCAGCCAGAAAACAAACCGCCACAAACCTGGCCGGGTTGATTTAGCAGCCGTTTTAGAGGTCAAGATATGCTTTTCGCTATGAATTTTGAAGGCAGAAGTACAGTTTTAAGAGAAAATGGAAGCAATTTAGACTGTTAGATTTTAAATATGGGCAAAAATCGAGGTAAGAAAACATATGTTTTGCTTCCCAGTTATTTTGCGTTATTTCTCCTAGGTATTACAGTGGTCCCAAGAGGAACAGAAGACAATGCTTAGTACTATGCAACATTTTGGGGGCAAACAAGGTGTACTAAAGCAGATCTACAAATGGCGAATAGAAAGATAGAATCATAGAAATCGTGGGCGTGAAATGGAGTTTAAGAAGTTGAAGTACTATTCTTGCAGACTAAAGTATTTTAGTCAATTTTCAGCTCTTCACAAGCAAAATCTGAGAAAACAGCAACTGATAAACTAGAGTTATTTGGGAAATTTTATGTTCTAGGCTAGTTTTTAAACAGGATTATAGAAGTAAAGTGTTAAATCACACAATTCTTATCAAAATGTGTGACAGGTTTGGACACAGAACTCAATCTGGAACACCATAGCTACTTGTCTTAAGGTCTCTATTTTCATCCGGGGTAAAAGTCTCAGTATGCGAGGAGAAAAGCGAAAGGATTGCTTGCACTCAATTTCGGGAGCTGGCGCGAAGCGCAAAAACCCGCTAGCTGTTAATAAATCCCACGCGGTTTTTGTCTTCATTTTTGCCCACGACGATCTCTAAAGAGGTAATGGAGAACAGGCCAATTTTTCAACGATGGTTTGGCTCGCGCAGGTATTTTTTAGAAAGAATCTAGTTCTGCTCCCGCAATTAATTAATTTAAAGCCTAGGATCTGACAGGCAGCGGTGAGGATCCAAAATTGGTTAAGTGGAAAGCAGTAAATAGATTAACCCTGACGCATAGGTATGGTCAACAACAAGACAAATAACAACAAACAACACATTTTATTGAAATTTGAAATATAACTAATAGCATTATTTTCTTATCCGCAAATTACTTATGAATTAATCTAAGCGGGGGAAAGAAGGACATATTTACGATACAAGGTTCATCTATTGCATAGCCTGCGAGCAAGCTCTCCGGGTCGCTCTGGCGGCGGGGCGGGGAAAGGAAGTAGAGCTTGCAACTACGTCTCTGGAATTTGAATCGCTGTATCGAAAAACTCGATGCGAAATGCTGATTGGCGAAGATTATATTAATGACGTCATTACCCTTGGCACATGCTGTCGGGTGTTTTTCAATGTTTGTTTACATTCGCCCTCTTTCCGCTTTGCCCTGATTGGCGGAAATCTGACAGCTCAGTCGATGGGCAGCCATAGGGGAATTGTACGTGGAATTCAAGTTCCAGAGACGTACACCTCTCCTTCGCTTAGTCCCGCCCGGCTGCCAGAGCGCCCCTGAGAGCTTGCCCGCAGGCTATCTATTCGAAGGACTAAACAGCAATAAAGATACTACAATGAAATAAATGGAGTAAACTAACATAAAACAAAGTAAGTAAATAACGATTACGAAGAGACACTATGATAATGTGTTCAACAACTTAATAACACGATGAACTTCAATAAATTTACTAATGATTCCTTTACTTTTTTACGAAAAGACGATCGCTTAAGCTTTTTAATTGAATAAGAAATTGAGTTCCAAATTTGAGAACCGATTCTCGTGAAAAAGGCAGACATTTTAATGGTCCTAAAGAACTTAACATAAAAAGATTTGTCAGAGCAAGATCTTGTTCTGTAGTTATGGGTCCGACATGCTTTAGTAAATTGATTAAGTATGCTAGCTGGTGCTGTTTGTCTTTTGGTATCATACAATAGATGGATACAGTCGCTGCAAAATAGGCTTAGTAGCGGAAGGCAATTCGATTTCAGAAAGATGGAATGTTCCTCAGACTCACTAGGGACTTTACGATCCGACGACGAAACGGCAGCGAAAACGTCGCTTCAAAAATTAATTTGGGTTCTTTCGGTCTTTATCGCGATTAATCCAACTCACTTGCTTTGTCAAATGTGGAGAAACCCTCCTGGAGTTGAATTTCTAAAAAAAGTAAATCCAAGTTTAGAAGAGAATAAAATTTCGTCGTCGCTTGTTTACGTCCTCAATAAAAAGTAAACTTAGGCAATTCCTCGTCGTAGTCGTGCATAAACGGAGAAGAATGTACAAAAAAGTGAGATGCACGTGCAAAGTTGTTATATTGCCTACTAAGGGCCTGTTTACATGGAGGTGGGGAATCCCAGGTAGGTGAGGTAACTTGATTAGATGGGGTAACCCGCCTGTCCATATAATCTCTCCTTTTAATTTCATCACATTTACATGATGGTGCGGTGACCCGACACATGTTACCTCACCCAATCTGGGGTCCCCCACCTCCATGTAAACAGGCCCTAAACCTATTGTTGTATTTGACGTTCTCGTTGCCGTGGCGTCGAGGGGTCGGCGATTCACTCACTCGGTGGTCTCCCCCAAGAATTCTCGTTATATGTTATTGTTCATAAGAAAACGTCATTGATCTCGAACGAAATGCGAACTACACCTAAGATTACTTGTTTAAGTAAATGATTAAATCACATTATTCTATTTAAACTTCGTCGATTAAGAAAGAATATCGAGAGACATCCTTAACATTGGACTCCGTCTATGTCAGTCTAAAACAACCCTGATCATCATTCGAAGCAAAACGTTTTCTTTCTTTTCATTGGCCGAGAGTCCACCACTTAACCTGCAAATAACTGCTTACAAATAATGGTCTCCTTATGCGCAATGTCGTCCAACTGTGTTTGGCTTAGTGTTTGGCTGCAAATAATATTCTGCCCATGCGTAAAAGAATCCACGCTTTTCTCCTTTTTGTGATCGCCCTTACGTAAAAATGGCAGGTCGCTTCGCTTCCAGGGGAGATTCATGAAAAAATAAACTCGGCGATCGAATGATAAAACAATTATTGAACTCGGTTATCGCCAAACGTCGTGATTTGTCACTGTCTCGCAGATCAATCATTTGCCGAAGTCGAAGGCTGACACAAACAATTGATCTGCTCGCTTCAAACAAATCACGATCTGGATATCGAAAGAAACCCCATGGGTACTCCCTATGCCGGTCTATACGGGGTACCTTTGCGATTTCCCTTGCTGAAGTATATGAAAGGGTAGGGAAATCTGTCATTTCGGTCGGTAAAAGGCTGAAAAATGCCAACAGATGAATTTTATGGCTGAGAAAAAGTCAAGGTTTTGTGATTTATTCATATTTTAAAGACAGTGCATTTACAGCAGTTGAAAAGGGATGCAAAGTTCTAAACTAAGTATATGAAAGGTAACATTTCAGAGACACGACCCAACGTCAATTTTCGGAAAATTTCTGTTCGGAAGACGATTTGGGATCTAGAATTTTCGGAACATTTGTTATAAAATTTCTTGCTTTCCTGCCTCTACTAGGATTTTCCAACATCTAAAAAACGGTATAATCGCCCATTTTTAACGGATTTTTACCGTAAAAAGGTTACCTAGAATTTTCGGGAGCCTTTTTTCTCGCTAAAATTTTCGAGAAGGTAAGTTTTGATCTCTATAATTTTCGGATCACTAGAAAATCCGTACAGATGAAACATTTTTAGCGGATAAAAATATGCCTATATCTACCGTTTAAATACTAAAATACGTTTAACAATGCTGGTTGGGTGCCCCTGACATTTTTCAATAGAATGTATACCAAAGGGATGCCTTTTCTGTCAAAACTGGTGTCTAAAAGAGTAAGAAGCCGTACCCCGGCCAGAGCCTCCCCTTTAAAAACTTTATGGAGTGTTTGATTTGATTACTTATCTACCTTTGAGGTAAGAGAAGCAAACAAATTATCGTTCATTGGTAGTTGCAGACCACTGTCGTCAAAGATTCTTAGACTGCACGGAGTGTCTGACCCTGCACGATGATTTTGATGAGACACATTTTCAGCACTGAGGTGTCGAGGAGGTCGCATCTTCTCTGTGGAATAGTTCATCATTTCCGGGCGGTGATGTCTTTGATGATTACGAGATATGTTACCTGTGCTGTAAGCCTTCTTTCTTTTAGGTTTACAGTGACAAGGATTCCCCAACGTTCGCCCCATGGCCGAACGGGCTTCGATGAAATACCTGAGACTCGTCTGATTTTCGTTGATTATATCCATCGGGTTCTCACGAATACTTCCCTCGATATTTCTATTACCTGCTCCATTTTCCATACCAAAGTTTCTGTTGAAATTACAAATTTCACTCGATCACTTCTTTTAGAAGAACTTCCTAGTTGTCTAATCAATATCGATCTAGCCCACTGTAATCCTTAGGAGATGAATGAGGAATCTTAAAACTACAAAATACTTTTTGTAGTCAATGCGATGAAAACTTAATGGTGCAAAACGAAGGCCGCTTGCAGCGCTTTTTAGACATTTTTAAACTTGGATGGTTGCATTTACCGGGGATTTAGAAGAATACGACCTTGCGTTTTTTTCCAATTTCATCAGTAAAGAACGCTTAACGTAATAAATGAACATTCCTGGAAAGACACAAACGATAAGCATTTGAAGCTCACAATCAAGGATGTATTCGTGAATATTACATTCCGTGCACGTTTCACTTATCACAACCGAAAGAATCTTGAATGGAAAAGATAAAGGAGCTTTAAAGAGCAAATTTACCTCAAAACTGGGTTGAATTAATAACGTCAATAATTATCAGTGTTCTTTCAGTTATATGGACTGCAAACGTGGCGTTGCTTTTGTAAAATTACTCGAGACTAACATCACTCAAAAAAATGTTTGCAAACAGGTATTCCTCTAAACCAACAGTGTTAATACTGTAAAAGGCATTCTTTAAAAACCTCGCTCGACGCTTTAGCTCACCTGCCGAATTCGATGTGAAACTCCTTTTTCACTTGATCGCTAACTTCTTGAGCCGAAAATACAACCTCAGGACCAACTTTGTGAAGCAAAGTTCCATCGTGGTCGGTGAAAGCCTTTTCACCTTGTTCCCTGTCCTCTCTTTTAGCTTCTTGTGACAGGACTATGAATCGTTTCGGTTTGTGTATGATGTCGAGCTTTAGTAACTCTTTCTTTTTCTGGAGAGTTACAAAGCAGACCACAACTCCGACCATGGTAAGGGCTGCCCCGAGAGCGCTCAGAATAAACACTGTCACAAATGTGGATTTTTTCTCTACAGGAAATGAAACCGTTCAAATCAAATGAATGCTTTTACTGGTAGATAAAACGTTAACTTCGAGTACTAGACATCCCCTGTTCGTCTCTGTTATATGTATTGATTACATAAATTACCTTGCCAAGACAAGATTTTTACTATAAATATGAAAATTTCTTTAACGGCACGCTCTTTCCAACAACTTCAATAACAAAACTGTAAAGATCCAAGAAATAAAATATTTTCAAAAAGAGAGGTAAACATCCTTAGCTAGAAAAACATTACCTTTAATGAAAAAAAAACAAAGGTATAGTGATCCTGCCACACCCATCTCAACCACTGATCTTTGCTGCTTTATTACAGCTGCCGTCGCCATGAAGACGCCCTTGGAATGTAGTTTGTCGCCACTTGTTGGCCGTTCTCCTCCTTTTCTCAGTGTTCCCATGGTAGTCGTTGATAAAACACGTGTTTTAACAGTGATGGGTTCTGTTGTGGGTTGTAATTTATTATTGTGCCGTTCTCCTCCTTTTCTCAGTGTTCCCATGGTAGTCGTTGATAAAACACGTGTTTTAACAGTGATGGGTTCTGTTGTGGGTTGTAATTGGAAACCGGTCTCGTTGACTTGTAAAACTGTAGACGAATTTGCATTTGCGTTGTTGAATTGTATTTGTATTTTTGTGACATCTTTATTCATAACATTTTAAAGCCTTTACGCCATTTCGGCACTCAGACGTAAGGAACGTTATACTACTACATGAGAAATTTCTGCAATTTGTTTGGGGTTAGAGCAGTGGTCTTTCAGCTCAATTTTAAATTGAATAGTAGTATTTATTGAATAGTAGTATTAACAAATAATGGCCTGATTTTTACGTGATATTTGGCATAAATACCATTCGTGATATTTCAAAATTGTCTCAAATTTCACTGGCCTAACTGCTCGTGAAATAACGTACGACAATTCTGAAATATCACTCGTGGTATTTATGCCAAATATCACTACAAATCATGCTATTACCTGTACTAACTGTTTTTCGTATCAATCTGTTACAAATATTCCTATGTAGACCGTTACCACGATAATGTTCGTTTCTAGTGATGTCAATGTTACCGACCGTTTTACGAAGTATCTAAATTCTAAATGTTTTTGGCGTTTCGTTAGTGAGTTTCTGGACGTTATAAGGGATATGTCTATGAGCCGTTTTAGAATTTTCTTAAAAGAGACGTCAAAGGTACAGTTGTGTAGGACCAACCTCATAGTAATGTAACAGATTTATTCAAAAAAATGATAGTGAGGAAAACCGTTCTTTTCTTAGTCTGTGCCGTTGCAGTGCATATTGTACCCGACAACTTTTCTTGTCGGCACGAAAAGCTGTCCAGTATGGTGTGAATATAGTCTCACAGTGTACCGGAAACCTCAAACGAGATACTCACCACACTTGAAAATAACAGTAAGATACTTGTAAATCCCCTGACAGTGCGTTCCTAAAAGGGTCTGATTCAACGTCATCCTACAGTGCTTCTTCTTGTGACAGATTCCCATAATTTCTAGTGTAACATTCTTCATGGGACATAACGACTTGTCGTTGGTATCGTTGCTTACTAATTGTTGGCGAAAAGGGCATGGTCCCGCTTCTTTTTCGCGTCCGTATAAAGCAGTGTAGACGACAATTGCTTGGAACGAGTTTGCACACATAAGTATAACTGTATCTCCTTGGCAGATCAGCTGTGCTTCAGGTTCCCCCCGACTGACCACTGTTACCGCTAAATGACATTGCAGTGACAATACATAGGGTTAGAAACACTTGCAACATGTTCGCGAAAACTTTATCTTAAGTCACACTATTTTTTTTATCTTGTTTAAACGTTAAACGTTTCTTTGCATCAATTAACTGTCATAAATAATTGATGGACAAGTTTTGTTATTTAAGACTGTATTTAGACAATGAAACTGTTTTATATCTTCTGATGCTGTGGATGGCAAGGATGAAGTTGAGCCAACGTTTTCAGGTTTTAATGCTATGCCTGTAAAAATCACCAAAGTAGTTGTTAACAATTATTCCTCGAGCCCCAATGGGCTCTGAGTCAATGGGCCGAATGGACTATTGACTCAGAGGCCATGAGGGCGAGAGCAATAATTGTTTTAGTAAAATCCAACTAGTTGGTAAAAAACATCGAGACAAAACAACTTTAGGTAGTTAAAGGTAATAATCCTTAATCCTTTAATCCGGCGCTTTGCGCTACTAGTGGGCTATAGCATATAGCCTTGTAGTTGCTCAACCAGTAGGAGTACAGCATTGATAATAGGCCACTTGCTGGAGTTTACCAATTCTGGTTAGCACTCCCTGATAGAGTGGTTTTCGTTTGAGTGTCGTAAAACCAAAACCAAAGTAATTACTCTGGCCAATCACATAGGACACAGACAATACATTGAACCAATCAAAACTCGAAGTAATTTCATGTGGCTGACGCAAAGCGCGGGAAAATGCATGCGAGCGCGTCACAATTGGCTTTGGTTTTACTTCTGATTGGATGAAAAGGTGGCGCGAATCTTTTAAGCCAATCGCATCGTGTAGAAAGTGCAAAACCAATTACTTTTCGACACTCAAATGAAAACCGCTCTATCTTCGTCATAACTTTACATGAGCATTTTGTGAATGGTTAAAGGCACTAAGTAATGACGTCAGCTCCAAATTGACCTTACACTCCAATATCTTTGTGACATCGCCCCTTAAAGCTAATCGCGTCATTTACGTAATGAGTATCGATAATGGTGCTGGAAAGATTATTCAGCACCCCTCAAATTAGCCTTTTTCAGGAGGCGTTCAGATAGTGGAGAGTGTAATGAAATGGAGAGCGGAGGAAAAAATAGTGGAAGACCTCTCACACTAACCCCACCCCCTCGTTGTGTTTTCCTGCTCTGTTTTCTTTGCGTCATCCCACTATGTGAACACCTGGAACAGGCTCACTAAAATAGAGCGTTTTCACTCACGTGGCCAGCATCAATGCAAATTTATTAGTCTCGCTTGCGTAGCAGGGAGACTCTTAATCTACAAGCGGTTTTTTTTTTTCGTATCTAGTAGACAAAAGAGAGGCCTTAGTTCCAGGCGTTCCTAACGGAGACCGTGGAAACTGGGAAAAAGAATCGTTGCGTACCGAAGCCACGTATGTTTTGCGAAGAAAGCTTAGGAAAGATCAATGTGATTTAAACCTTTTCCGAGACGGGTCGGTCCACGAATCTTAATTAGCAAAACTTCGATGGTGAGGGTTGTAAACTTTCATTGTATGTAAATGAGTCTTGTGATGAGCATGCGGTTTATTTTCGACGATGATTGAAATGACACGCCATGTTCATCACGTTTTTGATCTCTGGCAATGATGTAATTTCTCTCAAATCAAGGCCCTTGAATTTTCGTGTATTTATACATATATATACGTATGTACGTATGTCCTGTGACCGCAGACGTATTTGCGGCCGTCGCTAATTGCACGCGTACTAAATCAATCCAGAAACAAATCGTCGATTGCGATATCATTATTTCGAATTCTTGTTAGAAATAAGAGAAAGTTTTACGGAACAAAAAGAGTTAACTCCCACAGGATTGGCTTGGGACACCAACATGGCCGCCGTTTTATTGTTTGAGGACAACAATATGGCGGACGTGAAGTCGTGTGAAACCGCTCTCTCGGTTAAGTGTAAAACAGTCCTTGCTATAGCCTCCAAGGAATGACTTAAACTTGTGATAGCTTCACCTACTATCGAAAAAAAAGATGCATTTGAGTTTCGCTTCCCATTTTTATCCCATTCTTTGGGTAAAGTCCCGCTAAAAGCACAGAAAGACTGGTCAAATGATTTCTACTTCATTACCGTGATGAATCAAGTATAATTTTAAAGCGCTCAGACACCCTGTGAACGAACTTTTAGTTTTCTTAACGCTTTGTTTCAGAGCCAAAAAAAAATAGAATTTTACAAAAATTTTCAAAATTAAAATAAAAATAAACAAATGCGCGGGAAGCCGAACAAATGTGTCTTTTTTTACTAAGTCATGGTGATTTTTTTAATCACTACCTAATTATTTGAATAAAATAAATAAATTATTTAGCAGAGACTAAATGATGGCTAATAATCAGTAATATAAACCACTGAGTTAGCAACTTAGAGTGCATTCGTTTTCGCTCAATTTCCATGTCTTCTAAAATTACTCTCACTCTGTTTTGAAAAATGTTTGTCAGGGTTCCAGAAAATTTCGTTGAAACAACTTAGGTCCAGACAGAAATATTTCGTAACCATTCTATATTATTTTTATTCCCAAGAAAAAGTTTGTTTCTATTTATCACGAAAATTGGTCCCTTTTTCTGCCTTTCTCGCTCTTTTTTTGTATGGGGTTCACTCAAGTCGTATGCTGTCATTGTGAAAGTTAAAAATGTGCGGAAAATGTCAGCATTTTAGATCAAATTCCCATTTTGTAAAAGAGAACTACACCATCACATTGCATTTTTGTTTGATCGTTTGATCGTTAGTTTTGTTTACAGAGTTCTATTCGCCTCTTGAATTGCACACTTTTGCTGAGCACTAAAAGCAAATCGAAGGATTGACAGAAATATCAGATTTCTATTTATCCGGAATTCAACTTGTTTTTTGCATCAGTTGCTCTTAAGAAGATTTTTTATGCATTAAAGGTACTTAGCAGTATAAAGGCCCTGACAATTTTAAGATCACGGCATCGATCATTCTTGACGTTTGGCGTCCAGGAACAATAACTGAACTTACCGCCATTGTTCACCGTAATGTTCAGCTTAAGAACCAGGATCACAACGCTAATCTAGAAAGGATAAAATCAAAATAGGGAGATTTCAACTGACTTGCTATACACGGGATCATTATTGTAAAATAATTAAAAGGAGGTACTTACCTCAGTGAAAGCCACGAAATGACTGTAAAGTCTCATATTAGTTGATGCCAACTATTGTTTACGGCCAAATTTTTATCTTGCCAGGTTTGAAGTTACTTTTATTAATCTGTCTGGCTTAGATCACGAAGCATAAAGAGCTTTTCATTATTATGAAATACCCACTATTAACAAGGCCGAGATGACAGGTGATGGTCATTTGACTTTGTAATTTCACCATTGGTGATAAATTTTTAAGGCAAACTAGTTTTCTATCTGACATTAATTGATAGTTATTTCGCCTGCCTGACAAAAGCCTGCCCGCCTAATATGGCTAATATTAAAGTTACGCGCAGGCCAATATGAAGCTGCACTTAAGGGCCGCAAACCAAATCAAATTACCTGACAAAACAGACTAGGTTTCACAAATTTGCATTTTAAGAAAACTCCATTGAAGTAATTGCACTATAGCTAGCGTGTCCTTTTTCGGCTTAAGGCAATCAAGTGGGGTACAAAAATATGAACTGAAAAGATTTATCCATACCTTAAGTTGTTGCTGTATCTACCTCACAATTTTGTCGCATCTTTTTTTTTTTAATAATTAGTTGAATTCTGAAATCCGCAAAACGCCTAGTTTAATTGACTCGTTCCAAACTTATCTGTGAAAATATTCTTAGTTTGCAACCACGTTACACGGTTGTCATGTTGGGAGTCAATACAATAGAATTTTTTTCGAAGAATTTGCATGAAAATAGAGTTTAGTTCCCAGAGAAGAGAAATGCTTTTGTTCTTGACCATCAACAAGGACGCCGTGACGTCACCTGCAAACCAGCAATATTTTATCATGACATTTATTTTCTCTTTTTTTTTACTTGTCTGTTAATGTCTTTTCACTTCGCATATACATATATATGTTTATTTTCCGGACTTGGAAGCCAGTTTTGATAAGCCCCTTGGTTTTGATTCTTCTGACATTCCCTTGCCAGCTTACCATTCAAGTAATTATTTAAATTTTTTATATTTAAAGTCGCAAAAAAAAGGACCTGAGCTGAACTAAAATTTCTTCGCTAACGTTAAGTTCATAATGAATAAGGAAGCGTTCATGTCAGTATTAACAAAATGAACTTGTCAACAGTGACAGAACCTCTTTAAATTTACAAGCACATAATTGTGCGCCAATGGTTTCAGTGCACGCGTGAAAGATCGTAAAAACTATTTTTCCTAGACAGTCTACGAAAATGAAAGACAGATCAGGGTGGCCAAGCTCTTGTGAAGAGAATGTAAATTAGTGTTTTCCTAATTAATCTGGTAGTCATTTCTCCTTGACGTACTTGTGTGTTCACTTTTTTGACTTTTGGAAATTTGGCGCCGGCAAAACTGAAATGTTTCCTTCAAAGCAAATTTTCTCCTGGGAAAGATCTAGGACATTAGTCCCCTCATAGCATATTCTATGTTGTAATAAGTATATGTTACGACACATTGTTGTTGTCGGATGACTGACTGACCATTCCTCAATAAACTATTTCACATTGAATGTTTCGTGATAGTGTAGTCAGAATGCACACTTTTGCTGAGCACTAAAAGCAAATCGAAGGATTGACAGAAATATCAGATTTCTATTTATCAGAATTCAACAAGCGAAAGCTTTATTTATTTGATTGTTTTTTGCATCAGTTGCTCTTAAGAAGATTTTTTATGCACAAAAGGTACTTAGCAGTATAAAGGCCCTGACAATTTTAAGATCACGGCATTGATCATTCTTGACGTTTGGCGTCCAGGAACAGTAACTGAACTTACCGCCATAGTTAACCGTAATGTTCAGCTTAAAAACCAGGATCACAAAGCTAATCTACAAAGGATAAAATCAAAATAGGGAGATTTCAACTGACTTGCTATACACGGGAACATTGTTGTGAAATAATTAAAAGGAGTACTTACCTCAGTGGAAGCCACGAAATGACTGTAAAGCCTCATATTAGTTGATGCCAGCTATTGTTTACGGCCACATTTTTATCTTTGCAGGTTTGAAGTTGCTTTTATTAATGTTATTGAACTGTCTGGCTTGGAGCACGAAGTATAAAGAGCTTTTCGTTATTATGAAATACCCTCTATTAACAACGCCGAGATGACAGGTGATGGTCATTTGACTTTGTGATTTCACCATTGGTGATAAATTTTTAAGGCAAACTAGTTTTCTACCTGACATTAATTTATAGTTATTTCGCCTACCTGACAAAAGCCTGCCCGCCTAATGTGGCTAATATTAAAGTTACGCGCAGGCCAATATGAAGCTAACTAAAAGGCCGCAAACCAAATCAAATTACCTGACAAAGCAGACTAGGTTTCACAAATTTGCATTTTAAGAAAACTCCATTGAAGTAATTGCACTATAGCTAGCGTGTCCTTTTTCGGCTTAAGGCAGTCAAGTGGGGTACAAAAATATGAACTGAAAAGATCTATCCATACCTTAAGTTGCTGCTGTATCTACCTCACAATTTTGTCGCATAGTTTTTTTTAATAATTAGTTGAATTCTGAAATGCGAAAAACGCCCAGTTTAATTGACTCGTTCCAAACTTATCTGTGAAAATATTCTTAGTTTGCAACCACGTTACACGGTGGTCATGTTGGGAGTCAATACAATAGAGTTTTTTTCGAAGAATTTGCATGAAAATAGAGTTTAGTTCCCAGAGAAGAGAAATGCTTTTGTTCTTCACCATCAACAAGGACGCCGTGACGTCACCTGCAAACCAGCAATATTTTATCTTGACATTTATTTTCTCATTTTTTTTTTTTTATTCTTTTTAATATAGGCTTATTGCTAACTTGTCTGTTAATGTCTTTTCACTTCGCATATATATATGTTTATTTTCCGGACTTGGGAGCCAGTTTTGATAAGCCTCTTGGTTTTGATTCTTCTGATATTCCCTTGCCAGCTTACCATTCATTCCATGTTTAATGTCGCAAAATAAGAAAACTGAACTGAACTAAAATTTCTTCGCTAACGTTAAGTTCATAATGAATAAGGAAGCGTTCGTGTCAGTATTAACAAAATTAACTTTTCAACAGTGACAGAACCTCTTTAAATTTACAAGCACATAATTGTGCGCCAATGGTTTCAGTGCACGCGTGAAAGATCGTAAAAACTATTTTCCTAGACAGTCTACGAAAATGAAAGACAGATCAGAGTGGCCAAGCTCTTGTGAAGAGAATGTAAATTAGTGTTTTCCAAATTAATCTGGTAGTCATTTCTCCTTGACGTGCTTGTGTGTTCACTTTTTTGACTTTTGGAGCGAATTTGGCGCCGGCAAAACTGAAATGTTTCCTTCAAAGCAAATTTTCTCCTGGGAAAGATCTAGGACATTAGTCCCCTCTTTCAAAACAGCAACGCATTTTCAGGTTACTCGGATCGTAGTTCTGATAGTTTGTAGAGAAGATTATGAAAGGCCGAAAACATCAAAGATAAAAACAACGATGCTGCAGTTTATGTTGGGAGTTTCCTTACTCTGCGGAATCCTTTAGTTTCAGTTTTGTTTACAAATTGCAAAGGTCTTAAAAGGTTGCTCTTAAAACAATGCCATATTAACTTTGTTTTTGATGATTAAGTAGGCCAACGTGAAATTCTAGTGAAGCTAGATCTTGATAGAATATGTAAACTTTAGTGGTAAAGAACCTCGAGTTAGAAATTTTTGGTCTCTTTACTGTCCTGGCAGTAGCCTACAGTCTTAACTCATGAGCCAGAGGGAAATATGTTAATTGTTCCGGTATTAGAATGGCTAGTTTCCAGTCATAATAATAATAATAATAATATAGATTCTTATTAAGCGCATTTCTATCCTCAATGGGCTTTACATTATGAAAGCCGATTGAAAATCATTACATTTCTAGCCTATTGTGACATTATACATCAAGTATTGTAAAACTTTAAAAATCCTAATTGTAAAACTTTAAAAATCCTAAAACGTTAAGCATGAAAATCAATTGTAACATTATACATCAAGTATTGTAAAACTTAAAAAAAATCCTAAAATGTTATCATGTTTGTAAAAACTTTAAAACCAACTTGTAAAACTTAAAAATCCTAAAAATGTAAGGCATGAAAATCAATGATCAAGTATTAATTGTAAAACTTTTTAAAAAAAAACTTAAAATGTTAAGATAATTAGTGTTCACCAAAGTTGTTCACCAATTAGTTCTTCACCAAAGACAATGGCAATCTGGTCCCTCCTTTATTGTTAAGAACCAGCTCGAAGTTCTCTTAGCTTATTACTTCGGCCACGAAAAGATCCACAAGACTAACATAATTACAAATGTAATTGCAAAGAAGACATGAGGGGTCTAAAGCAGCTTGAAATAATAGATTGTTAACTTGTTTTCAAGGGACTTGCCAAAAAACTAAGTTAATTTTTTGGCAAGTCCCTTGGAAACAAGTTAACGTTAAACTTTTTTTGGAAAAAATAGCAGATTTTGATCAACCAAAATAAAATGATCTTTACTCATTAAATTAAGATATTTGAACTATCTAGCAGTTTTAAATCAATGAGGTTGTATGACTCAACTAATACGTTTCATTAACAAACTGGATTTATTATTGATATGTTAACCAATGATTTTAGCAATTTTAAGAGTAGGAACCGTGAGGCTCCAAGTACCCCATTCTGATACAATCTTTTAGGACGTCGTTGATCCCTGATAAGATCACATTTTTTAAAGTCAATTTACGTTAGCAAACTCATATTAATCACGCATCAAAGTGTAGCTGACGGCGATCGATTGTCTTTAAATGACTACCTAACATGATTCCTTTTAGACTACGTCGACGCGGGCATAACATCGACAAACTCCTACAATGTTGGACTCAGTCCAGTACGGCCACCTTCTGGTCAATTTTTACAGTTTTAGAAAGTTTACGATCTCTTTGTCCTATGCATTTTGTCACAGCCTGGCCTTTGACTTTCCTGTTCCATTGTTCGTTAGCATTAGGATACTTTCTTCGAGAAATTTTGTCTCTGTTTTATGCTTCAGTCTTGGTTACTTGTTATGAAGGATTATGTCTTTTTTA